GCCTGCCACACACTCAAAGTAAAGACTTCGGGAACATGGATCGGAAACTCGTTGTTTCCGACCATGCTGAACAGCTTGTCCACAGTGCGGAGCGGAAACTAGAGCTTTCCGCCTGCCACACATTCAAAGTAATGACTTCGGGAACATGGATCGGAAACTCGTTCCAGAGCTTTCCGCCTGCCACACATACAAAGTAATGTCTTCGGGAACAAGGATCGGAAACCCGGCCTAACCGACCTTGATCAACAGCCTGTCCGCAGCGCGGAGCGGAAACTAGGTCTTTCCGCCCGCCGCACACACACACACGTAGACTGAAGACTAGGCCTCGCCAGCTACCGAACCTGTTATTTTATGCAGTTATTATTATTATTATTATTATTACTAGCAGACCCGGCGAACTTCGTCCCGCCCAAAATTAATTTTTTGATTGAAACATTTGGTCCAACGTTTTCGCCAGTAATTCACGTTGACGTTTGGTTTTGTGGTCGACAGAAGGCATATCCTCCATTGCCGTCTTAAATAACCTGACGAAAGCGTTATACCGGGAAGAAGTCCCTGCGGCTCGATAGTGAATCGTCCTTGAATCTGTATAGTATAGGTGGTGGCAATTTATAAACCGGTGAGTATCATTGGTCCACATTCTGTTTAGTCACCATAAAGCAATGACCGCAATGGTTCTGATGGTTGATTTAACGGGAGTACTTTAACTTTGATCCCTGGTGCCTCCGAATCGACAAATTTTAGCAATAACTCGACTCCAGCGCCACTAAAAATTGTCATTAAAAAATTATCATTAAAATCGTTTCGGTTGTTAAGCCACCAGAATAAGTCTTTTACATACTGACACTCTTTGACATTTTTTCCCATACAGAATTCGTTATACGGAGAAACTGCGCAACATCATCAGCGAAAAAAATTCTCAAAAGTCAACGGTATCTATTAGACATTAAGAACTTGCACTTTATGATAATGAAATTGAGTGATCTACAAAGCTGCATACTCAAAATTTGGTGCTATTCGATGCAAAATGAACTACATTTCTATAAAAAATTAACAAAAAAATTTATTATGAATAAAAAAAAAAACACTGTATTCTGGGTGTATATATTTAAAGATAGGTAAAAGTTTCAATATGTTTGGAAAGCGCCACGTCCCTTTTGCAGTAGCCCCAAAATCTCTATACCAATTTCCAGGACACTACCACAAATACCTTTAGAGATATACGGTATGAAAAGTTCGATATGTATGGGTGATGCCACGCTCCATTAATATATCGAAAGTCTGCAGTAGGTGTCCAAAATTTCAGAAAATCGGTACAGTCCTTCGCGAGATCACCTCTTATAAAAATAAGAAGCTTTTCTTTATATAATTAGCGTAGGTAACACAGGGCAACACCGATTTTGATGCGGCAAATGTTGAAGCTGGTTTTGATAGGCTTTTTTGTGCTGATTAAGAATACGTAAGTATAAAGTAAAAAGTGTGGTGAAAGTGTCAAAAAATCGCGGATTTTGCAATACTTGAGAAGCTCTAGCAACGAAACAAAAGGTGATAGAACCTTCCACTTAGGCTTAAATTAAGGCTTGGACTTCTGACTTCAATACCATTCCTGCACCTTGACCCTAAGGTTACCTGTAGTCATTTATTGAACAGCTAACACTGATTTTTACACCATTTTTGACGACAAAAAGTAAATGAGTGTAGGTGACCATTAGGGCAAGGTGCAGGAATAATACTTTCAGAGATGGTAGTCTGTAGTTCTAGCTTTAATTTAAGTCTACGTGAAAGGTTCTATCACCTTTTGCTTAATTGCGGTAGGAACTCAAACTTCCCAAATCAGTTATTCCTGTTCAACAAATGACTATAAGTGAAAGGTTCTACCACCCTTTGTTTCTTTGCTAGAGCTTCTCAAATATTGAAAAAAACGCGATTTCGAGCAAATTGGACCATAAATAAGATTTTTTGGAATTGATCGGTATCTGGTCCAGCTATCAGAAAAAATGTCCTATATGTTAGCCCAGCCAATAAGCTACCTACGTGCCAAATTTCAAGAAAATCAGACCATAAATAAGACATTTTCGAATAGATCGGTCCCTGGCCCACTTAACGGAAAAACTGAATCCTATATACTAATCTAGGCAAAGGGCAACCAACGAACCAAATGCATTTGAATCAGTTATGAAACATAGGAGGAAATTGTTCCCAATTGATTCAAGCTCCCAATGAATTTCACAGTTATCCGAAATTTTCCAAGCTTTCGTCGAAAAAAATTCATTTTTTTTGCGTTCTTCCGGATTTTTCCGAGTTTTCCACTTAGAATTCTCTATTTTTCCATTCGAATGCCATTCCGAAGGAATTGCACACAAAATTCCAAACAAACAAATCTATTTTCGATTTTTCCAATTTTCCGACTTTCCCGGAGGGTTTTCCGAAAATTTTGTAAATGTAAAATGTTTTAGATCCATCCCACACCACGGACTTTAGCGGCCGCCGATTTAGTTGGGCTTGCAAGTCTTTCCATTGCACCACAACTAATTGGTCGGAGCGATTAAGTTGGTGTAGTGTGCGCACCTCCATACATCTTCATGTACATATTTCAAGCGAGCCCTACTATTTAAATAGGCGGCCGATAAATTCTGTGGTATGAGGTGGCTCCTATAGCTGCATTATTACAGCTATTCCGTGTGTTGCAATATCCACGGAAGCAGCAGTTATGAAGAAAATGATTTTAAAATATTAGATAAATTCTCTACTTGTATGGGCAAATCTAAAAAATAGGTACACTCTCCAAAACAAAATTTTTATTTTTAAATTTGTGAGCACACCTATGTTTTATATATAATTTTATTCGTACTCTCTTAATGAATCGATTAATATAAGTGTAATTCATTTTCATCAAGTGCTTCAAAAGTTAGACGAATAATAAACATGAAATAGAAAACAAAAGAATAAGCTGGGTTCAAATTACGTTGTTCAAGTTGTAAAATTTGAGCAAAGATTTTGAAAGTTGAACTCACTTAATTGGGACGTTCTTAATTCAATGGCATCTCCCGTTTTACCAGATTGGCTCCGGTTTTCGAGATAACGGTATTTGAAGATTTGATTAAATTTTAACTATTTTATAAATTACTCCATCAGTTTTGAAGTTATTTTACTAAACTTTTGCACATAACGGTTTTTTAATATTACCTTAATTATTCCTTAAAATTATCGAAATTGTTGCACTTTAACGTATAGCTCCAATACAACTGATTACTCAGATATGTGTTTTTGTGCTATAACTCTAATTTCATATCTGAATAATAAATTGTATGCGTGCTATATGTTAAAGTGAACCTATAATAAATTTTTACATGCTTAATTGGAGGAGTTATAACGCAAAACAACGTCTCTGGTCAATCAGTTGTATGGGAGCTATATTTTGGAGTCAACCGATTTCGATGATTTTATGAGATGGTGAAGGAAATGATAAAATACAAACGTCTGCAAAATTGTAGTAAAATATCTTCAAAACGGAGGGAGTTTTTTTATAAAATAGTTAAAATTTAAGCAAAGTTTCAAGTACCGCTATCTCCAAAACTGGAGACAATCGGGAAAAACTGGGGACGCGATTGAATTTAAAAGGCTCCAATTAAGTAAGAGCAACTATCAGAACCTTTGTCGAAAAAAATTTGATTTGATACCACGCTCGAAATATTCTGACTATAAGAAGGAAAGTAATTAAAAGTACTAAATCGGCGTTTTCGCACACTTCTAGAGAACATTTTTTTGAAGCATTTTACAGGTATATACAACGTTATAAGGACTATTAGCTATAAAAATATTTAGATCGTTTCGACAAATGTGCCTTCAAATAAGATATTTTTGGAATAGAAATTACGCTCGAGATCGCAGAATATTTTATCTTTAAAACATGGTTTATTCTGAAAGCACACCTCTTGCTAAGTTGTCAAATTATTCGTAATTGTTTGTAGAATACGATACATACTTAAAAAGTTCTTAAAATTAAATGCTTCAAAAACTATACGCGATATCCGAAAATGTTGAAAATGGTGAAATGTGGAGTTACAGACTTTGAGTTACTTGCCATTTCGTTATTTTTTAATGCACACTTTTCTTACCTACTACATATGAAGTATACACATAAGTGCTAAATGCCCATTAAACTTCAAATGAGAATATGGTGTGCTTCAAAAGTTATGACATAATTAATTTTGCCCCTCTTAAAAATTACATAAAAAATTCACTTGTTTTCATTATTTTTTTTAAATTTAAACACCTATAATTCAAAAGTTATGCAGCAAATTGATCCAAATCTTTTTTGAGGCTTCAAGTATAAGTCAATGAATTATATCCAAAAGCAACCAGCTTGATATAGTTTTCAACAGTGAAAATAAAGCTAAATAACACCAAGGTTACCTGTTTTTTAGATTTGCCCATATGTTTGACTTTCCTTTGTTTTATTTTTCCAACGTCAAAAGCTGGACTTTTTTTTTGAAAAAGTCGGTACAACAAAAAATACGAAACACGTTTTCTGTCAGATAGCTAACATGCCGGATAAGAAGAAGAAGTGAAACTAACAGGAAAAAAAAGAATCTTAATTGCTAATCTAGGCAAAAAGCTAACTACGTACCAAATTTTAAGTAAATCGGACCAAAACTACGATTTTTTCGAATAGATCGGTCCCTGGTCCACTTCCCGGAAAAAAGTATCCTATATGCTAATCTGGGCAAAAACCTACCTATGCACCAAATTTTAAGCAAATCGGACGATTAATACGATTTTTTCGAATATATCGGTCCCTGGTCCTTCTTCTTCTTCTTATTTGGCGCTGTAACCGCCTAAGCGATTTTGGACGAGTCCAAAACAGCACACCAGTCATTTCTCTTCTGTGCTAACTGAC